ATTCTGGGAGTTGAAGTCCACTCATCTTAAAGTGGCCAAGTTTGGACAACACTGTGGTAGATCATATAAAAATCTTATTCCATACCAATAGACTTAAGATAGTTCAGATTTGTTTCAACCATTTTTAAAATTTATTTAAACAGTTAAATAAGGTCTGTTACGAGGCTACTTGAGCAGAAGAATAAAGCTGAGAGCAGCTTGATGGCAAAAAGAAGTGACGTGATTCTTTAACGGCATATGATTTTGCCATCTGTCTATGTAGCAAACACTAGGGAGAGGGGCTGTGTTCACAATTCCCCCGTCAGCCCTTTGAAGTAGGCTGGGTCAGGAAACAGACACTGCAAAGATAAAGTAGGAATGCTACTTTATTGTTGCACTGTATAATAACTGAAACTTGAAAGCCTGACAGATTCCCTCTCCCTCCTCTTAATACCAAAGAGAATCAAGGTGGAGCAGTCTTGAGTTTCTTTCTCATTCCCTTTCAGGGGTAAGTTGGTATATATGTAACAGTTGTTGATATACCTTCTTCAAGACCATCTTGCACTCCTCTACTCACACACCTTATACCAGGGTTTCCCAAACTGTGAGTTGTACCTCCCTTGGGGACGTCCAGAGAGAATCCAGGGGAGGTGTGAAGAATTTTTTTAGTTCTACGTTATAATAAATCCACTTTTCCCAAGTTTCATTGTATTGTTTTCATTGTTCATTTGTGTTCATTTTGGTATTTGGATTTTAGGGGAGTTGTGTACATTAAGATTACATTAAAGGGAGGTGTTATGGCAAAAAGGTTAGGAACCCTGCCTTATACTGACAAGAGTCAGACTTCGCATATCATCCAGAAGGCTTTTATCTGGATATAGTTTTGCTCTGGGTTTGAGTAGATTATTGTAGCAATAAGGAAAGCCAACTAAATGTCTCGCCACAAATTCTAGATAGTTAACAAAGAACTAGAGCTGGCTTCGCTGTAGTTAATTACTTATTTGGGTAAAACATAATGAGTTGGTTTGGTGGATTTGCTTTCCTCCAAAAAAAGAGAACTGCGCACATAACTGCATTTTTGCTGATTCATCTGCTAAACAATCTAAAGGTATTCATCACTGAATCCCAGTTCTCTACAAAAAAAATTTGGACATACACTGGGCCAGTGTACCCTAAATTGGAGCCCTCTAGATATACTGGCCTTCTCAAAATCTCCAACCAGAAGGCTGGCTGGGGATAATGAGAACTATACATCTGGGAGACATGAAAAGTAGGGAAAGGCTGTTTTAGGCATTAATTTTTAACGAGTGGATTGGGAACTGCTTAGTTGAAGGTGAGTGCCGGTTGTGCTGCCATCATCAATTTCTTTTGTTGCTTTGTTCAAACTGAACAATGGGGATAGTATATTTATTTTATTTCCTAAATTTATGTTCCATATTTTCTTCAGGACTGAAGGTAGCTTGCATTGAAATGTCCATTTTATTCCTACAACAATGACCTTGTGGTAGGTAGGGCTGAGAGAGAGAGAGTAGATGATCTGGAGTTATCCAGTGAGTTCCTGTTATTGAAGATGGTCTCCCCAGTCTTCATCCAATATTTTAACTGCTGCAACCAGATTGGCTGATTTATTGATTGTAGGGGCAGATTGAGAAGTTGAGTGGGCATTGAGGGAAAACACAGCCTGCTAAAAAGATACTTCTAAATGCATCCCGAACGGCCTTCATTTTTTGTATCTTACAAGACTTGTGCTTTTTTCTTAAGCCATTACAATCTATTTTTGTAACATGCAGATGGGTGGAGGTGGGAAAAATAAAGTTAATAAAGTTAAAGTTGGTTTTGTGACTTTGGATTATCGCTATTGGCTTCAGTAAATATTGTGCAATGATAACTGAATATTTTAATAATAAAGAATTCTAAATTTGTGATTAAATCCAAATAAATACATTATTACAAAAATAGTGTGACTGAGATGTTTATTTAAATGTGTGTATTATAGGTTTTAACGTGACTTCAAGAAGTAGGAGAACAAGTGATGTTTGAAATCTTGTGGTGCAAACAATATTACATATGAAAATAGCATTAATCGTTCATAGAACATAAAGCAGAAAATTAGTTGTAATGGATTCTCAAGTGAATTACCCAGGCTCCGAAATGAAACGGTGAGTTTAATTCATTTAATTAACAAAAATACAGTTATGCGAATTTCTGTTCTCTGAGTAGTAGTCTTGACTATGAGAATTTCTGCCATTTGCTAGTTCTGAAAATTATGTGTATGGAATTTCTATTAGAATGTTTATTGCAGAAAATATATATTTGGAAAAAAATTAGCACCAGATGACAATGTAGAATTTACACATAATGCTGTTAATGCTTAATAATTTTAGATTTCGCAGTTTGCAGTACAATAGTCTTGTGCTTACCAAATAATTAACCCATCCAATAGTGCTGGTATCTTAGTGAAAGTTCAGCTTTCTGTAGGATTATGTTAGGTTACTGTTGTTGCTTTTTAAAATAACTTTACACACCCCCATCACTAAATCATTAGCAGGTTTAGATTTTGGCTGGAAATACCAAATATAGGATAGCTATAAATGTATCTAAGACAACATCCCTTGATAAAACCTTCCTGCAATTTCTTTAAGAATAGTAAAATATAGTTCACAATATATATGTATAAACCTGTAATATTTGCATGTTAGACTGTGACCTTTGTCAGGAATATAATACTGTATTTGTGGAAGGGGGGTATCCGGTGATTTGGTGCTAGCAGATTTTAATGGTTCTTTAATCCAGTTTTGCTAATTAACAGAAGATCACTGACCAGAGCAAAAAGATTACTCATTTTCAAAATTCTATATTTTTCTCATTTTCTTGCAAAATACAATGGCAATTATTAGTGTTACCAAAAAATGATAAAATTGCAGCTTCCTTTCTAATGAACAGGACCATTTCAGCTGTGAGGTTCAAATTATTCAGAGAAGTGTACTTAGTCCCCTTCAGAAGTTGTTTCCATTTTCTTTTCAAGATGTGATTTTTCATGAAAAGCTTTTTTAAAGTTTGTACATTGCCTGCTGAAAATTAAGTGTTTTTTTTAATGGAGGCAGCTGGCTTTTCCTCTTGTTTCTCCAAGTTTATATTTTTCTTTTCCTGCTTATCATCATTTTTATGTCGTTATCTGTATCACTGTTTTTATCTCTGAATTGTTCTGTCAGTCACTTCCTATGTTATATGAAAAGTGGATGCAATATTTTAAAAAGTTGCTTAATTTTCTATGTGCCATATATTATTTAAAACAAAATGGTATTTTATCACTCTTCCTCAGCTTCCTCAATGCAAGAAAAAAAACCCTTTGTTGTTTCATGTGGGGTGGTTGCCATAGTTACCTCAGTAACATAGGTATGATCTAGCTGCAGTTTTGTTTCATGAACCTCTCCCTTTTATTTGAGAAGCTGAATGAGGTTTGTGAATTAAGAATTATATGCATCTTCCAGAAAGTTTATATTTTTGGTGCTTAAAAAGATAACATTAAGGGAGTTGTGTGCATACATTTTCTAGTAATAATGATTTAATAGTAATTAGAGTTGAGGCTAGGTTCAACGGGGTAAACTTGTTTTCCCTTGACATCTGGGAAACCAGTCAACATCTCTGTCTGTTTCTCATTAAGTGAATATATGGCAGCTGTGACTGGCCAGATGCAAAACACCTATACCTTGAACATTATGCCCAGGAAGAAATTTATTCTGTTGTAGCTATCATGATAAGTCATCCCTCCTGGACTTTCTCCTTCTATAAAATTATTAAAGGTGAATTATTAATGATCAATGCTGCCATATTTTTCTAAGTAGAAATGGAAAATGCTGGCTGAACAAAATAAACATTACTTTTAATTTTATTCTATCAAGAGGGAGAAAGAAACAGATGCAAGATTTGAAAGAGATTGACTTTTATCATGGGTGGCATCACTTGTATTTAATTGATTTCTATCCTGCCTTCATTTTCAGGGTAACTCACAACCCTTTAAAAATACAACACACAAAGCAGAACTTTTAAATCAGTACAATTACAATTAAATATAAAAAGTTGATAATCTTTAAAATGTCCTTCAGTGATCTATAGACGTTATAGATGTAGGTAGCTTCAGATCTGGGAGCAATGCAGTTCCATTAATAGCCAGCTCCAGAGTATATTATCTTGGAAACAAATCTTATAAATTTAATGGGATTTAGTTCTGAGTAAGAAATTTAACCTTGCTGCCTTGATTATTTGAAAATTCAGAGCTGGTATGACTGAGACCATTGGTAGTGAAAAGCCCTTGCATTTTATAGCAGACACTCGGGAAAGACATTTCTCCACAATCGCAGCGAGGCTGATGTGGAAACAAAGGAAGATCTGAGAAGAAAACTCCATCAAGCCAAGAAAGAAAAACTTGACATTACTGCTAAACACAATGCAGAGGTAACAATTTCATCCATATATCTGCAGCATTCTTATACAAAGTCCTCATCCTGTTGAACTACATCCTTCTCCAATTTGGCACTCTTCCAATGTGTCTGTGAAGGACTACATCAGCCTTCCTCAATGATACTAGTGAAGGGGTTTAGCATTAGCCTTGTGCACCCCTGGACCCTAATTTGGAAGAACTGCTCTAAATCTTGTGCAAGCCCAGCGTCTTTCTGGTATTAAAGTTACTGCATCTCTTAAAGCAGCTGCAGCATTTTTCTTTTTTTGCAGGCTCACATGAAAGCCTAAAAAAAGAGGGAGTTGCTTTAATGAATAGCAGAAGTGCTGTGCTTGAATGAGATCCAAACCACTTCTAAATCATAGTCAGAACATAGACAACCCTATTTAAGGTTCTTCTCAAATGTTTCTCTTTTTCTTGGATTTTTTCCATCTTGCTCTGTTTTTGGAATGAGAAGCCAGAGTACAGCTATAGTTCTCATGGAAATAAAACTTTATTTTTTAAAAAATGGTTTAATAATGACAGGTTGTAGGGATTAAGAACCCAATAATTTACTTTAGTGGTGTGTTCTGGGTTAGATGTGCTTAATAAGACTTCTATCATTTCTTTTCTTTTTTTTAATTGTTGATACATGATCTACTTTTCAAGTTGGAGTCCCCTTCAGAAATTAGTTTCTAACATGGCATGGGAACTGGGTTTTTTTTCATTTTATTTTATTATAGTGTTATGAGACATACATAATACATTATATTATTTTGATACAGTGGTATTTATACAGTGTTGACTAGAGATCATTAACACTCTAACATTTAGATGACTTAAGACTATTAAAAAAGAAAAAATATTATATACTGGTGTAGGCTTTCATGGCTGGTATCTGTTGGGCTTCAGGGTTTAGTGACCGTGGTCTAGAAAACCGATTTTCTCGACTACTTTGCCTCTGCAAATGCCAGCCACAGTTGCTGGTGAAACATCAGGAAATCTGTTTTCTAGACCACGGTCACTAAACCTTGAAGCCCAACACTGCCCAAAAGGTATTATATCAGTATTAACTATTATTTAAGATGTTGACATTAATAAACATATGATTATTTAGCTTTTACATCCAAAGCTGAATGTAAGGGGACTGTTATTTAAGAAATACAAGTCAAAAGTTCCCTAGGCTCATGGAGCTAATTGTGTACTCAATGAGATTCTTGCTGCAGTTTCCATCCTGCTTGTAATATAATTCCTGTTGGATGTTGAATTACTGGAGGTAATGCATTTGTCTTGAATGGATGAGCAGCCTGGAGGCTGTATGAAGCTTCCAGCTCATTGAGATTGTTCTGTGGAAATTCAGCAGCAAAATGGCTACATTTTGATTTCTGCTTATTTTCAAGGCTTTGAGGTAGTTTTAAAGATAGAAATGGAAGCTGTTTGCCTCCATGCGATCTTCTATTCCTACCTTTAATCTTTCCCATGTAAAAAGAAAAAGAAAAAATAGCTTGAAATATTGCAGCTACCTACCTTCTGTTAACTTCACAAATGTGACTGGATAGTCTCCTGTAGTCCTTACAAAGTTGGGGTGCTGAGTTGTACCCCCAACTTTTCAAAAGTGGAACACTTTGGAAGAAAGCAATGGGGTGAGTGATTTTCAGTGTTATTTCATCCTTAACTATGTTGCAGGCTTGTAAGTGCAGGTAATTTTCACTTAGCGACCACAATTGGGACCAGCAACTCCATCACTAAATGATGCAGTCATTAAGTGAAACATCACATGACTGCATCCAACTTCTGCTGCGGTTGTTAAGCACAATGTCATGTGACTGCAACTTACAACTTACTGATGACTTCCCATTGACTTTGCTTGTTGGAAGCCGGCTGTGAAGGTTGCAAATGGCGATCATGTGACTGCAGGATGCTGTGATTGCTGTAAGTGCGCGCTGGTTGCCAAGTACTCAAATCATGATCATGTGACTGCAGGGCACTTTGAGCATCGTAAATTCAAGGACTGGTAGTAAATCTACGTTTTCAGCGCCATAACTTTGAATGGTCACTAAACAGAGCAGTCATTAACCAAGGACTACCTGTATAAAGTGATTTAGAGCAGAAAATGAAAATAATAAAAAGTCCTGAAGGAGGGCAAAGCCTATCTTCCATTGCATATGAGCTAAGTTTTGTTAATTTAACAATGTAATAAGTACTTCAACAGTGAACGCATGAAAGGTTTGACACTTAAAATCAGCTGTGATAACAAAGAGCATTTGAGTTATGTTGTGGACTGAAGACCAAGTTTAATGCTACATGCAACTTAGCTTAATTGTGATTCTAACTAAGGCTAGACAACTTTTTGAAAAAGGAGAGGAGAAGTATCGTGAACATAATGCAAAGTTTGTGGTGATTTAATAGACTTAGGCAGTGTTCTAATTTTCATAATGTGAAAATGAGTGGTGAAATTGCTAGTAGTAATATAAAGGCAGGAAGGTCTGCATCCTGATGTTGAAAGAAATTATGAATGAAATTGGTGATAGAGCATAGCAAGTCCATAGCTTTGATGGGACAGAATTGTTCTGGAAGAGAATGCCAGACAGAATATACATTTCCAAAGAGGAAAAGACAATGCAAGCTTTTAAGGCTGTGAAAGATAAACACATGCTTTTGTTTTGAGCTATTGTAGCAGGAGATAACAAATTACAATTGTTTAACATTGGAAAATTATTAAAAATCCTTGTGCATTTAAAGGTATGTATTACTGTTAAATCCAAAAGCTTGGAGCAATACAGCTCTTTTTTAGACTGGATTCATCAATTATTTTATTCCTGAGGTGGAAAAATACTGCAGAAAGGAGGACATACAATTCAAGATTTTGTTTGGTCAAGAACATCATCATCATCGTCATCATCATCATCATCATCCATTCTGCAACTGAGACAATCATGATCAAAATACTAAGCTTGTGTTTCTTCTACTAAATATGATATCACTCATCTAGATCATGGATCAGAGCTCATTGCAAATTTTCCTATTGTCTGCCCACAACATTTGCTCAGACATTAGATGCAACAGAGAGAAAGACTGCTGTCATATAACATAATTTCTGGGAATAGCATAATGCCAAGTCATCAGAAACATTGCTAAGGCCTGGGCAGAGTTTTCCCAAACCTGTTTGAATGGAATATGGAGAAAAAATTCCCCCCAATTGGTACATGGTTTTCAAGATTTTTGAGAGACAAAACATAGAAAGATACGACAAATATAATTATGAAGCTTGCTTAGCAGCTTGAACTGGAGGTTGATGCCAAAAATCTTAAAGTCCCATGGAGCTGAATTATCAAATGAAGATCTGATGGTGTTAGAAGCAGCAAATGTAGTAGACAGCGATTGCAGCTAAGGCTCAAGATGAACCAGTTGAAGAGCTACACCATCGCCAAAGAGATGGCAACTGTATTCGAGGAGAGTGCATCACCAATGACACCATTTGAGAAAAAGATGACCCCCAATGGTACATGATTCTTGAAAGTGAACAGAGGGACTAACAATATTCTGGTATATAGAGATATATGAAGAGAGGGAAAAGGCCACTATCCCAGTCAAGGAAGGTTGAACAACATGCATATGTTAGCTAATCAGCTCCCTTTGTAACTTTACCATTCATGATTTCAAAGCCAATATTGTAATGCTTGTCTTCTCCTTCCTTATCTAACAAAGGTCCTTCACCTTTCACCATGGAAATGCCATCTTCAGGTATTATGCATGTACTGTATATTGGTTTTGGGGTCACTTGGTCCAATTATTACTTCACACAAAAACTGGATTATGCAGGGTTTTCTTGAACAGAATGGTTGTATTGGATTTTTAATGTTTTATAGTAAATATATTAATTGTCAGGTATGATGAGATTAGGTAATTGCTAATAGTATTAAGGCATTTTGGCATCTTGACAATAAGCTTTCAACCTAATTCGTTTCAAGGCATCTAACTGTAAATAATTTTGAAATTTTACATTACATTACATATTGGCATTCAAAAATATTTATGATCAAAGTTATCTCTAATTTTTTTTAAAAAAACATTCCGCTTATAGCAAACAAACTATGAAAGCCAGATTGCAAAACTGCGAGCCGAAGTTGAGAAAGGTGAAGCCATCCGACAAAGCCTGGAGTACGAATTAGCTGTAGCAAGGAAAGAAGTTGGTATAGAACGGTATTCATCAGAAGAAAAATTGGGTGGAGCAAACAAACAAATAGAACAGCTGGAAGGTAAAATTCAGAATATTTACAATAAATAATGAAGAGCTTTGTGAACATTTCCTGTATGAACATAAACTAGTAACAGTATTTTCCTGCTGGCAAAGTTTGGCCCCTGCCCAGTGGAGGTTACAGTTTTTTTGTTTTTGTCCATGAAACTAAACTAAAAATCCTATGTGTGAATGGTGTGGTATACTCAGGAAGTGTATATATTCCTTTTTTATTTTAATTGTCTGTTGTACAGGTAGGTCTCGATTAGTGCTAATAATGAATCCTACGAAAAGGTTGCATTATTCGAATTTGCACTATTTGAAGTGATGTTGGGTAATTGGTTCCAGCTCGATGGAAATAGGCAATAAAGATTTTTAAACATACATTTTTATATATTTATTAATGAAATGTAACAGTAAAAGATTAAAAGAACATACTTACAACTTAAATTTATTTTTAACAAAGTCATAGAGTAGTTATAGAAGGCAAAAGAAAATAAAAATGAAAAAAAAATCTAAGTATTCCTATCTATCTTCTAGATAGATAGATCTCATAAATATTTAAAATAAAGAAATCAAGTGAACAAAGGACAAGTGGAGGATAAACCCATATCCAAAGCATACCTGCTATCTTCTGTATTCTGTTGTAGTTTTTCAAAATGAGCCTCTTCTCTTTTAAGCTTTCCTCAAATGGAATCTTCTTTTCTCCATTTTGCACAAACGATTAGCATCTAAAACCCCAAAGGCAGCTGCACATGTGCAACCCTCAACTGTGTGCACGCTAGCCTGGCATTAACTGAATTTTCGCTTGCATTAAACACGACCTGGTATCAATTTATAATATGCACTAAATCGAATATCGCACTACTTGAACTTGCACTTAGCACGACCTACCTGTATTTCATTCCTATTGCATGCTTCGAAATCTGAGACAGTAGACAGTTGGTTGTGTCCCTATGTACAGATGATGCAGCCATTCTGTCTCTCGCTCAGGTCGGTCTCATAAGAAGTCTGCAGGCCTTTGCAGATTATTTTTCAAGATTTTTAATAAGCTTAACTAATATGGCCTATAGTTTTGTGGAGAAAGGATAGTACTTGGTTTCTTTGAAACCAGGTTGGACTTTGTTCGCTCTGCATTATGAATACTCTGGTGATAGATTTTTTGTGCGTGTGATTAGGTGACTAACTCAATAAAGTCATCTATCCTCTCATTCCTTGATTTGGACAAATGTATCCTCATGCTTGAACAGTGGATGATCAAAGAACAGCCTAAGAGAGTTGGAGATCCAAATATATTTTCATCTTGTCCAAGCTTTCATGCTTTTCCATGGTTTTAAATAAGGGTTTTATTAACCTACTATCCAAATAAATTGTATTGCTCTGAATGATGTACCGTCAAAACTAATTCACTCTGTATCCTTTGTACATTTTAAAATTTTCTAACGCTATGAATTGTCTTGATTGCAATGTGTTAAAATGTCTTAAACCTACCTTTCACTTAGGTTTACATTGAACAACTTGTCTAAATCTAAGGAGTTTTTTATAATCATGAATAAATGACAATATTGTTCTATATAGTCCACTTAATCATTAGAAGGCACTGATATTGGGAGTCTCTGAAAAAGGAAGAACATATTAGGATGAATAATTGTTTTTAACCATTGCTGTTCTTCCTAATAATGATAAATAATATTGTTGCCAAGATTTCATTCCTCCATAATTTTACGTAATACAAGTTCATGATTATATTTTTAATTGTTGCCAATCCTTTGTTCTAATTATTCCTGTATATTTAAATCCACCAGGTCTAATATGAATTATGTAATTCCTGTTATGCTCTGTTATTGACATAACAGTTGTTCAAGATTTACTTACCACTTAATAGAATTTATCCAACCTTCAGTTGGAATATATCTCCATCTTAAGAAAGATAAGCCTATCGCATACAAACAAATACAGGTCATCCTTGGGTTATGATCACTCATTCCATGACCATTCAAAGTTACAATGGCACTGAATGAGTGGTACTTATTCAAAATTCTGGCCGTCACAGCACCTCTGCAGTCAAATGATCGCAATTTGGGCCATTGGCAACAGCACACATGAAGTTTGCAGCAACCCGCAGTCATGTGGTCGCCATTTCCGACCTTCCCTGCCGGCTTCACACAAGCAAAGTCAATGGGGAACCAGCAGGAAAGATCACAAGTCATCCCAGTAAGTTGCTCCCTCTGCTTTTTCTCTTGAGGAGCCCCACTATAGAGTATGAGATCCCAGGGATGTACTCTGTAGCACCCCTCAACCTGCCTGCATTCCATAGTGTGTGCCCACCCACAGCACCCCCCACCTGCCTGCAGCTCCTACTGGCCTGCCTGCAGCACCTGCAACCCCCCCTGCACTCCATACCACCTGCCCATGGCACCTGTACACTCCTCACACTCCTTGCCTGGGACTTCCTCCTCTTCCCGCTTAATGACCTGCATGGTCCTGGAGTTATGACAGCAACCAGGACTGCTGGGATTTCTGTCACTAAGTGATGCAGTCATGAGACATCACACTTTATGATTGCATCACTTAGTGACAGAAATTCCTGTCCCGATTGCTGTCACAACTCAAGGACTACCTGTAAATTGCATGATCTGTTATCATCTTAAGACCCTGAACATTCTTATTGTTAATATTTTGTATTAATACCTCTATAAACAAAATAATTAAAAAAAAGTAAAAGAGGGTATCTTTGCTTTGTGCCCATATTAATTTCTTAAAAAAGGAATATTTAGTTGATGATTATTACCCCTGCTTCAGAAAAGATAACTGTTTAATCACATAATAAAACTGCATCCAGATTTCAATAACAGTTTTTAAAGAACTTTTCTACTGTATTAAATGCTTTAAAAACATCTAAGAAAAACAAAACTATAGGTTTAAGGATTATCAGCAATCAAATTCATTTCTGTGTTTTGCATCTTTAAGTATTTCATTATATAATTGGCATAAAGAGGGAGTTAATTATTTTGGGAACACATTATAATACAGTGGTACCTCGGGTCACGAACGCTTCTGTTCACGAACAATTCGGGTCACGAACAGCACCATTCGCAAAATTTTGCTTCCATTCGCAAACTCCGCATCGGGTGACGAACAGGATCCGCGGCCATTTTCCCTGCTGTGACACATGGTTGTAGCTTCCTGTAGGGAGGGGGACTCTCCCTCCAAACAATAACCGCCTCCCCACCCGCCTTCCTGTCCTCCACGCCAGAAGTCGCCTCGAGCAAGGTTAGCGTTCTCTCTCTTCGTACTGTACTGTACTGTACTTTGTTTCATACTTTTGTGGTTTAAAAAAAAAAATACATATGGTTCAGAACAGATTAACCGTAATTACATTGAACCTTATGGGAAAATTTGATTCGGGTCGCGACCAAAATCAGTTGGTGACCGATTAACCGTAATTACATTGAACCTTATGGGAAAATTTGATTCGGGTCGCGACCAAAATCAGTTGGTGACCGATTAACCGTAATTACATTGAACCTTATGGGAAAATTTGATTCGGGTCGCGACCAAAATCAGTTGGTGACCAAATTCGTAGGGGTTAGAACGGATTAACCGTATTTACATTGAACCTTATGGGAAAATTTGATTCGGGTCGCGACCAAAATCAGTTGGTGACCAAATTCGTAGGGGTTAGAACGGATTAACCGTATTTACATTGAACCTTATGGGAAAATTTGATTCGGGTCGCGACCAAAATCAGTTGGTGACCAAATTCGTAGGGGTTAGAACGGATTAACCGTATTTACATTGAACCTTATGGGAAAATTTGATTCGGGTCGCGACCAATTCGGGTCGCAACCAGAGTCGCGGAACGAATTAAGTTCGTGACCCGAGGTACCACTGTATTCAGGTCTGAATCTCTCCATTCCTGGGTCTTTCTCATTTTGTTACTGTCACTGATTGTTTGGTTAAGATAATTTTTATGTTCCTTAATTTCTCAAATTTAGAGTTTTAAAACCATTTGACACTTTTTTCGTCTTCAGTTTCATTGATCCTAAAGATTAGAGTCTGTTTCTATAAAATATAATAGGAAAAGAACCTGTGCTACTTTGATTCATATTTTAACTGCATTTGAGAATCACCTTGCATTTCTTCTTAACAGAAACCATCAGAGCTCTTCAGCAGAAGTGGAATGAGACAGAGAAATCATATCACATCAATAAGTGTCAGTGGGATGAAAAACAACGAAGACTTATCAATGAATTATCAGAAAAGGAGTTAATTATTAATACCTGTCACACTAAATATGAATCACTTTTGAAGGAGAGGATGGCACTAGATGATATTTTGAAGGTAAACATTTATTCAGTGGTGTCTTCAGTGAGGTCACGAAAGGCAAGATGATAGTCATGACCAGCTCTTTGAATGTGTGTCAACATAGCACATATGTACAAAGGGGCGGGGCTTTGATAACACACTTGTGACTGCCATTTTTCTCTTTCTGACCCTCTCCTGTGGATATTGCTGTCTTTATTGAAGTTATATGTTTCAGAAGAATATAAATACATATTTTCTTGTTATTAGTACAGTATACTCTGCTCTGCTTTTCAACAAAAAAGTTTATTGGGCTCAAAAAAATCTTGCAGCTTAAAAGATATGACAGAAACAGAAAAGGGATTGAGAGGGAAAAGGCAAACAGAAGGTTTAGGCACTTGCTCTTAATTGCAACATTCTTGAACTGAATTTATCTGAAAGGAAGGCCCCTTTTTGGCAAAGAGTTTACCTTTAAAGTGAGTTGGTCATTATATGTTTTCTAAAAGATAGTGATAGATGCAGATGAGCTTTTGTCTTGCTTTGGGGGGCTGTCTTAAATTCAGGGTCATCTTCTTGGCTAAATATGGAAAGTCTTATTTTCAGGCACAGAAGAGGGAAGCAAACTCCATAAAGCTAAATGATTAAGTGGGAGATTGATTTTTTTCTTCACCATGACAGTGTTCCTTGAAGTGAAGGGAAAGCTTGATGGCTCTTGGCCAATGAAGAGACTAGAGTGTAGTGCTCTTTTAAGTTCCATTCCTTGCTTCCTCCAAGATGTTTAAGATGGAGTGTGTAACCCCCTACTCTCATCAGAGTGTAGGCTGGTATTCTTTTGGGAGGGGATGTTTTTATCCAATATAGCCAGATGTTTAATGCAAATATTTGCAGTCTGGTTTCATTAAGAAAAAGTAGTGATTTATAGCTAAATTCAACAGGGTGACCTTGAGAGACAGAAAGGGTAGAGGCTATCCACACATTAAAAATTAATCTGATCCACAAAGCAGAGATGGGCAATGTGTGCCCTTTCAGTAGTTCTTGCTCTGCAGTTCCCATCAGCACTGCCTGTTCACTGTACAGGAAAGCCTTAATGGGAGTTGGAATTCAGTAGAATTTATAGTGACGTACGTTGCTGGCCCTGCTGTAATTATTTGCCTAAAGCAGGATTTCAAACCTGGATCAAACAGAGTTTAGAATTTTGGTTGCAAGCAGAATGGTTGGAACTGTGGTTTGTTCAGATACAACGGCAGTTTCTCCTGCTTATTAAAGAAAGGTGCCTCATTTCTTCTCCCTTCAGTGTAGGGAAAAGGGGAAGATATGATTATATCTTAAATCTAAGTAGTTTCTACTATTGTATCTGAATAAAGGTAGAATCCATCTGGAAAAATACACTGAGTGCATAATGAGCTATGAAGAAATAGTCTTGAATAAATTGGTTTCCTCCCCTCCCTGGTAAGATTAGGAAATGAGAATAAAATGGATCTGTGACACAATGTTTGATAGTTTTAATTAATTTCAGTCTGTCTGTCTATCTATCTATCTATTGCTTATGATATTATTAAGTTAATTTTAAACTGTATCTATATCAAGGAGACTTTGGAATCCCAGAAGGAACAGAAGAATGTGATAGAGTCAGAGATCATGAAAGTGGCAGCAGAGGAGTTTAGGTCTCAGGCAGAGCTTTGGAAATCAGAAAGAAATGAACTCCAATTTTTGTTGCAGGTATCTTTTATTGTGTTAGGCAATGCTGCTAAACCAGTAGTCATGTCTGTATTATAAGCTAAAAATAGTATCTGATTAATTATTAAAATAATGGCAGTGCTATTATATTGCTCACATAAGTTTTAGCTCTTTGGAAATTGAAAGCTGGTGTCTCTTCTGACTTATAACATGGTAGTCAATACTGTAAAGTCTTGACTACCTCTCCCCCCTAATTTTTTTTGAAGGATAGCCATCTTTTCTTACAGGCATCTGTCTATACCATCTTTGGCCAGAGATATCCTGGTCATAGTAATTCATGCACTAGTAAACTCAAAGATAAATGATTGCAATGCACCTTAGGTGGGAGTGTCTTTGGAGTTAGACCACAAGTTGCAGCTAGTGCGAAGTAGTTAAGGAGGCAGCCTACTGCAAAAATATTTTTGCAGTTCAGAAGGCCAGTATGCTGTCCAGCAAGATCCAACACTCTTGTACTGAAATATAAAAGTCTAAAGCTTAGAGCCTGGATATCTGATAGATCAGCTTCTTTATGTATTGACCTGGTAATAGCAGGGATGTCCTCTTCATGATGCTGTATCTCTAGAAATTTGCTTTACAGTCTTCTAAGAGAAAGTATTCTTGACTCTGGTAATGGAAGTCTGTCCCTGCTCAGTTATGGCTGGCATCAGATTTTGTGCCAACTTACAAGACTTACTTGTGTACCCAGGATGTTACATTTGTGTCATTGGTACTAAGATATTTTTGTTGGTCTGTAAAATGGTTTTAATCTAAAATAAATTATATAGTTTAACATATAAGTCTGATGTATTCAGACTGGTCAGACTATAACTCCCCAAACTAACTACCAGCTATCACACCCTAGCCACGCAAGTTGCAAACTTAAGAAATGTCATCCAATATATCTGAAGCGTTGGGAAAGGCTGATCTGTATGTTCAGCTCTTTTGCCTCCATATTTTTGTTCTGATAGTTCCAGATCTGTTCCAAAATCCATTTTAGGTCCATTTGCATTTAGAAAATAGAGTACAAACTTTCAACTACTCCAGAGTTCTTCATAAGGGCAGGATTTATAACAATGCCAATTAACAAGAAAGAGGGAAGTGGAGAGAAGAAAGTGAGTAATGTTCAAGTAGTGGTGTTTGTATTTATTTATAGTCTTAGATACTGTGAGGAAAACTTTATTAAATCAGTGTGATTTTCACTATTTTCCCCTATTTGTCTTCATTGTTTCCTATGGTGGAAATGTAAATGTTGGTAATCAGATTCCTCTGTATACTATAGTATAGAAGATGTGTAGTTAACTGAAAGTCTGATGAGATTTTTTTTCGAAGTAATTGACTGTTAAAAAGGTGTTAAGCAAAATCTCTTCTAATTTACAGAGAACAATGAAAACAAGGGTATGGAAAGCCAAAATACTGATGTTCTTGCAACAATTGTGTTTATTTGAAAATCAAATGTATTGTGAAATGATAGTGGCAAAAAAGGATTTAAAGAAGATAAATAAAAATAAATAAATAAATAAATAAGATAAGATAAGATAAGATAAGATAAATAAAAGC